CCTTGTGTTCATTTATGAATTATTAATAAGGTGCATAACAACTAAGTGTGCAATGCCTCAAAATGCATTCTTTGGGACATCTGCCTTTGAGTCCCTAGAAGTGCTTGTTATGTCTTTGTAGGTCATTCTTAAGCACTTAAAGCTTAGGATTCTTGGAATTCCAGTTCATGTAGAAGAAGGCAAGAACTATGGTGGACTGCAATTTGTGCTTTAAGAATATTAGGGAAACTGGGGGAGAGACTTCTGTGATGGGCCCCTGGGTATGAGCCTGGAAGGATATTAGGAAAAAGGAATGGAAGGCCAACAAGGGTAAAAGCAGAGCAGACTTTCAATAATCTCTTTAGATGGTAGGTGTGATCTTTCTTTGCTATGTAACCGTGGTTGTGTATGTGCAAAGTAATGTTTGAAGTTATAAAAGCATAAGCTTCCTCCTGTGATGCTGAAGGGAATGAGAGATGGGCCTGGTGCATGGGGCTGTGCCTTGGGATGGGATCTCTGCACACCCCTGAGAGTTGTGTTAGTCCATGCAGAGGCCCCTTTGTGTTTTTAGTTTAGAAAACTCTCCACTTTTTATCCATACATTCTTAGAGTTCACAGAGTTTCTTTAAAGAAGATAAAAGATTGGAATCAGGCTTGAGATCAATAAATGGTACAGTAGGTATTCAAATTCTCAAATGGGCTACTGTTTTAAAGACTTGGATTAGTGAAAATTAAAATAATTGATATTCTCCATTGTTTGTGTGTATGAGAAGTGCATGATGGAATGGGCCAGGATGGAGAAAAAGAAATGGTGCCATTACCTTTAAAAGAAAAAGGGCAAATCTTTACTAGCTCTGCTGGGTTCTGAGAGATCAAGAGACCACTAACCCTACCATTAAGGATCTGTGTCTAGTGGGGGACACAGATAAGCAATACTGATTCAGTGCAGTACAGCGAGCTGTCTCTGTTTGTGGGTTCAATACCTATAGACTCAACCAAACAAGGTATTTGTAAAAAAAATTATATCTATCTATACTGAACAAGTACAGACATATTTTCTTGTAAGTATTCTCTACAAAATACAGCATAACCACTACTTACATAGGATTTGTACTGTGTTAGGTTTTATAAGTAATCTAGGGATAATTTAAAGTAGGCAGGAGGAGTGCATAAGGTCTACAAAATACTGCATCAGTTTATGTAAGGGACTTGAGCATCCATGAATTTGAGTGTCCACAACACAGGAGCTTCTTAAAAAAACTTTATTTTTTTCTAAATTTTAATTTTTATGAGTACATGTTTGCAATACATGGTGATTGTATTCATCATGGGGAGTTGGTACATGTACATAACACACCTTAATTCTTTTTTGGTCCTACTCTTCTTCCCTGCTACTCCCTCCATCTCTGGATCCCCGTTTGTAAAAGTTCTGCTTCTATATTTTTCAATTCTTTTGTTTCATTGCCTTTCCTTCTCCTCCTTTCTTCTACCATCTCTTGTTCCTCTTACTAATTGAAAAGGATCCCCCTACTCCCTATTTATCTATCTTTTATTTTGCTCATTATTTATATTTGGATTTCTCATATAAGAAAAACCATATGATATTTAAGGTTGTGTATTTGATTTATTTCATTTAATATTATGTTCTCAAGGTGCAACCATTTACCTACAAATGACTCAAATATATCCTTCTTTATGGCAGAGTAGTACTCCATTGTTTATAAATATCACCTTTTCTTTATCTACTTATCTCTTAATGGGCATATAAAGCATTTCCAAGATTTAACTATTGTGTGCATATATCATTATTATTTTATTTATTTTGAGACAGGGTCTTGCTAAGTCTTTAAGTTGTTCCAGGCTGGGCTTGAACTTGCAGTCCTCCTGCTTCAGCCTCTCAGAGGGCTGGTGTGTATTTTTAATTTACATAAATGCTATTGTACTTTTGGTCTTATATTCTTTACTTTTTTCAGAGTGATGTTTAAAGACCTACCCATTTTCATTGTGTATGTATAATTTGTTGCTTTGAACCATTTTTTTGTGCTCTTATAGTATACATTTGTTATAATTTACCTCTCTCTCTTTCATTGATGGCCACCCACATGACTCAGCTTTTCTGAGTCATATACAATGCTGCCATGAGGATCCTTGTTCTTTGTGGACCTGTGTGAATTTTCAGGGTATAAATATCCAGGATCAGAATTCTGGGGTTGGAAGGTTTGTTTGACAACATATACTATAGATTGCTCCCTAGATATGGCTGAACTGGCTATGTGTTTGCCACCATGTAAAGTCCCCCTTCCCCAACAACACTTGGAACATTTTAGGCCATCATAGCTCTAAAGTAGCATTACATTACTGGCTAATTTTTATTTCTCTGGTTACTTGTGAGTTTGAGGATCTCTTGGTATACACATTAGCATTTTGTAATGCACATTGCCTATTCACATATTTTGCCCATTTTTCTATTGAGTTACTGTCATTTTCTTGTTGACTTTCAACATTTCATTGTACAGAAGTCCCTACCACCCTTATCTACAGCACCATTTTCTGTACTTTTACTTACTTGTGTTCATAGGCAGTCTGAAAGTATTAGGTGGAAAATTCCAGAAATAATACGTGAATTTTAAATTGTATGCTATTCTGAGTACTGTGATGAAATCTCCCATAGCATCTTGCTTCATATTGCCAGGGATATAAATCATTTCTTTGTACATCATATTCCCATTGTATATACTGCCTACCTCATCACTTAGTAGTCATTTTGGTTAATCACATAGATTATTGTTATGATTTGTGTCTAGAATGGCCCTCCAAGGTCTTATGACTCGGAGGTGAGGCTTTTAGAAGGTGATTGGATCAGTGGAGCACTATACTTATCAGTGGATTGGTCCATTGGACATTCATAGCTGAATGTGCTGTTAGGAGATGGGGTCTGATCAGAAGAGGCAGGCACTAGGGGTGTGACTTAGAAGAGTGTATCTCCTCCCCTGGCTCCTCCTTTCTCTGTGTGCTTCCTGACCACCTTGATGTGAGCAAACTTCTTCTGCGAAACCCTTCTACTATACCTTTCTTGCTTTGGAGCCAATTGATTGTGGACAGAATCCCCTGAGAACTGTGGACTCTCATCTTTTAAGTCATGGGTATTGGGTATTGTGTCTCAGTGATGAGGAAAGTAACTAAGACGGATTTTGATTCTGAGAGTTGGGCAATTCCTGTGATTCTACCTGACCATATGGTTCAGAAGGCTTTGGAATGTGTTTGCAGGAGGAATTTGGAATGGTTCGGAACTCTGAGAGTAAAGTCAAAGGTGCAGTGGAGATCCGTAGTGGAGAACCCATAAGGGTGCCATAGGGGTGGAACCACCCAAGCCATTTTCTGCTCATGTCTTACATCCTTCCCCAGGTGCTGGTCATAGAGGTACAGGATTTAATGTTTGCCCTGCTAAGTTTTGGTATTGCTTTTTTCCCATTCCTTTCTATCCTCCTATTTTCTCCTTTTGGAATGGTAGTGTTTACCCTGTGAGGTTGTATGTCAGCAGTGTTTAACTTTCTTTTTCATTTTTACACTGTTCACACCTAAGAGTTTGCTTTGAGTCTCAGGGGATACTTTCAGCTTGGACTTCTTAGCATTGTTAAAACTGTTAAGAATTTGGTAACTCTTAGAGATGGACTAAATAGATTTTGCATGATGAAATAGACATGAATTTTAGGGGGCCAGGGGCAGAATGTTATAGTTAGATTTAGAATGTCCCCCTAAAAGCTTTGTGTTCAGAGGTGGAGCTTTTGAAAGGTGACTAGATCACAGGGGTGCTATACTCACTCACTCATCAGTGCTATTCTGTTCATAGCTGAATGTGCCGTTAGGATGGGAGCCCTGGTCAGAAGGGGGTCACTAGGAGCATGACCCAGCAGGGTAATACAGCTCCCTTCCTTGCTCCTCCCTTCTCACTTTGTTTCCTGGCCACCGTGATGTAAGCAGCTTTCCTCCACTTCACAATTCCCACCATGCCCTTCTTGCCTTGGAGCGAGCTGACTATGGACTGGATCCTCTGAGAACTGTGGGCTAAAATGAACCTCTTCTTTAAATTGTGTGTGGCAGGTATTGTGTCTCAGCAAGGAAGAAATTTGCAAAACAGCTCTCAGGGTATCGCAGTGCTGTGTTCAAGTAACACTTGTCTTACTTAGTAATGGTCTCAGTGCTCAAGAGCAGTGATGCAAAAGAAAGTACTAGGACATAAAGCATGAATGGACAGACCAACTCTGGTATATGTGGCAAGGCTGTAGGGCATTAGGAAAAGCATAGTGTGTACAGGATTTGTTACTACCTACAGTTTCTGCTGTCCACTGAGAGTCTTGGAATGTATCTCTTGTGGATAAGGGAGAACAAGTTTATATCCTCAATTTTAGTAAGTTTTAGACAGTGAAAATATTGTCTCTTTGTAATCTTAGCTGAAATATAATTTTGCTGTACACTAATTTTGCATTAATTTTATCTTCTATTCTGATTCTACTTTTACATTATATTAGGTAGATGACCATTTTTCTTTTTCTCTACACTGTGAACCAGGTTTTCTTCATCATTTTAATTTTTTTGATTTATGCTATGAAATTCATCATGTATTAAGTTTTCACAAGTAGAATTTTTTATTCTTTCTGTTCAGTTTCACTTATCCATTCAGATACTTTAGTTCTAAACTGCTTTTGTGGCAATGGTTTTGAATTACATCTCTATATTTGGTTGGGATAGTTCCCTTCCTGGATCCACTTTATTCTTCTTTCTCAATATTGACCTAGTTATTTGTTCCATTTGTATTATAAAGTAGTTTTTCAGAGATTGTCAAAAACTCCAACTATAATGTTGGTGGAGGTTAATTTGGGAGATAGAATTTTCTGGTAATAAATTGTTCATCTAAAGAGTATAGAATGTTTTCCCAATTACTCTTCTCATTTTATATGTTCTTTACTAGATTAAATTTTTTCTATGTATTTTTATTACAGATATTTATAGCTACTTTATAGATTTTATGCTGCTATGAATTAGATCTGATTTTTCACTTACATTTTTGCAGTGAGTTCTCCTAACCTAGAGAAATGGCTTTTGTTTTTAATTTCTTCATCATACTGTACATTTTTCTCAAGAGCAGTGGCTCCGTTTTTTTTCTTTATATATTCTCAGTGTGGTTTTTTGTTTTTGGGTTTTTGTGTGTTTTTTTTCTGTACTGGGGATTGAACTCAGAACCTTGCACTTTTGAGGCAGGTGCGGTGCCAGTGAGCTCCATCCCTGGCCCTATTGTCAGTGTTTTAAACATGACCTAGTAAGTGATCAATGACTTCTTTTGGTACCAGGGATCAAACTCAGGACCTTGAGCTTGCCAGGCAGGCACTGTGCCACTGAGCTAAATCCCCAGCCCCAGAATGTTTTTTGAATGAATAAGTAAAGAGTAGGCTATGTAGAACAGAATCGTCTCCTTTGATATTTGTAATCTTTCTGACATCCATAGCAGTTGCAGCAATTGGTCCACCACAAGGACCAGGAGGCAGTCTATTCTTTTGCATGGTGTTCTTCCTGACAGTGATCAATTAGTCCCCTGAGGTGGCTAACTTAGTCTTAGCTAGCTTCCACCTCCTCCAAGGCAAAATAAATTTTTTGAACATAGTTTTTTGTTATTTATTGTGGATTTCTCAAAGCACACACTCTTGGATCAATTTGTGTATAATTTTTGAAAAGCTTCACTGCCAGACTGGTATTGAGACTTGGCGCTTCCTAAGGTACCTATATAATTGTCTCCCTGAAATACTTACAGGATTGAAGTACCTATAAGATTGATTGTCTTCCTGATTTCCTCTTCTGAAGCAAACATTTAGACTTATTAAGTGGTGATTCAGCAAAGGGAAACAAAATAATGTGAATACCAAAACCTAACTGCCCTTAGGACTGGAGCAAGGTTGGACATAGCTATAGGGACCCTTGATAACTTTAGACAAAAGTGAAGAAAACATAGAAAGGAAGAAAATAAATGGTAATCCATCTGTCTAATGAAATTTTCCCTGAGTACAATGTGAAAGCCTTTCTCAGTATGCCTCTTACCCTCATCCGCAGTCTCCCCTTGTCTTTCCTATTCTTGACTGCATGAACTCTGTGTTTTGGCCCTCTTGGATTGCTTGTTAAACCACCAATAAGCCTTCTATAATTTTACTATCCAATTTTCATAGATAGTAATCTGTATATCTGAAATAGGCTTCTTGCCTTTCTCTACCAATTCATCGAACTCCTTCAGTTCTTTTCAATAATAATAATACTTTACCTGAAACCTGCCCCAACTTCTCCAGATGAAGTAGTCACGTCTCATTCTGTGCCACCATAACATATCCAACATAAACTTCTGTTAGTGCCTTTCTATTGCTAGGTTGTTGTAACTAGTTTTTAGAACTGTGTCTTTTACCTACAAGTTGAATGCTTATTAATATTTGAGACCACGCCCTCTCTGTCTTTGTGACTTCAGTATTCAGTGTGGATTCTGTATAGAGAAGGCAATCAATCAATACTTGCTGAATAGATAATTGAGTAAATTTACCATGGAGAGGATAGGATTTTTTTGTTCCTGGTACCAGGGATCAAACTCAGGACATTGCACTTACGAGGCAGGCGTGGTGCCATTGAGCTAAATCCCCAGCCCAGTGAGAATAAGATTTAGATGCACTACTCACCATGTGGTTCTAGCCAAAGAACTGGCCTTTCTATTCATCTATAAAATAAAAGGAATATATCTATATTTGTTCAATTTTGGAGATGCTATGAGAATTTACCAGCATTAGTCAGCTGGATGCCTGAAGAAAACCACACAGACTTGGTGTCCTAAACAACAGATACTTAGTTCTCACAGTTCTGAATGCTAAATCGAAGGCCCAAGGACCAGTAGATTAGGTCTTTTGGTAGAATTCTCTTACTGGGTTGTAGGTGGCTGCCTTTTCTTTGTATACTGCAGACAGAGGAAGTTCTGATATCTCTTCCTATTCTTTTAAAGACCCCAAAACCATCTTCCAAGCTCTACTCTAGTGACTTCATCTATGCCCAGTTACCCCCCTAAAGGCCCACCACCTAATACTGTCCCTAATAAAAGTCCTCACACAATTAAGCTTAAATGTCAACTTGAGTGTCTTGAGAGCACATCAAGGATTAGTAAAGCACACTTCTGGGTGTGTCTGGAGGGGTCATAGAGGTTTGACCTTTGCTAGTTTATGTTGACCCACATCCCTTCCTCTCTTGTGTTGTTCTCCTGCTCTGCTTCCTGGCCTCCAAGAACTAAGCAGCTTTGCTCCACCATACCCTTCTGCCATGATGTTTCTGCTGTGGAGCTAGCTGACCATGGACTGAATCCCCTGAAACCATGAGTCAAAGTAAATCTCTCCTCCTTTAACTTGTGGGTATTGGCTGTTTTGTACCAAAAATGGGAGAGCTGACTAACACAAGCCTTTTCAAAAGAAATACTCCAACTGTGGAGTCAGATGAGTGAACAATGGACCTTGCCCTCAAGTTGATGCTTCCATTTCCTTGCTTACCTTTCTATTTTATCTTTCATCTTTATGACATTTGGGGGATGCCACTTATCACATAGGTTTGGGTTCATTTGTTCCAATACTCCCTTTGTATCAAGACAGTATCTGTCAAGGTTTGATTTTGCTTGAGAAATAAATGAATCCTTAGAACAAATTAAGATTATTCAATAAAGGAAGACAAGTCACCGTTTAACCTCTGGAGTGAACTTCAGGTGAGCACCAAACTAACTCAGAGGGAGGAGAGAGAGAGTAGCAGTTCCAAGTGAGTCTAGAATGCTGGTGATTATTGATAAGAAGCATATTTGAATGGGAAACTGTCGGTCTCAACTAAAATCTAGCCTTAAAGATGATGCTTTTATGTTCTTATGATAGAAGTTAATAAAAATTGCATCAATGACAAATTAATGGAGCTCCTAGAAGAAACTGAAAAAGTAAAGCTTGCTTGAGGGATATTTATACCACTCATATTTCCAGAGAGGAGATAAAATTTTGGAAAACAAAATTCAATAGGAAAATTGTTAAACATAGGGTGACCAAGCAATCAAATAATAATAAATGCTGGTGTGGTTAAAGGGAAGAGGAAATCCTTCTACATTGTTGGTGGGAATGTAAAATAGTACACCGAATATGGTTTGGAGATTCCTCAAAAAAAGAAATTCCATTAGACCCAGCTGTTCTCCTTCCTGGAATCTTCCTAGAGTTAAAGACATCATGCTAGAGTGATACATGCCTATTCATGTTTCTAGCAGCATAATTCATATCTAAACCTTGGAAGCAGCCTATATGTCCATCAAAAGATAAATAAACTGTGGTTTATTTCTGAACAGTGGATAAAGAAAGGTCTGTCATAAAGGATAAACTTGTATCTTTGTAGAGAAATGGGTGTACCTTGATACTGTAATGGTAAGTGAATAAAATCAAACACATACGCTTAAATACTTCATGGTTTCTCTTATATGAGAAACACAAAATATAAACAAATTATAGATCAAAACAAAATATAATAGGAAACAGACAGGTCTTTTGCAAAATGGAAGGGGACCAAGAGGTAGAGGGGAGGGGGAGAAAGAGGATGGGAAAGGATAGAAGGTCTGCTTTGAGGGACATTTATCAACTCGTATTGAAACAAGAATTGGGATGTATTGTGTACATGTATCAACTCCCCACAATGAATGTAATCATTATGCACTGCAAACATGTAGGAATAAAATGAAAAAAAGAAAGTATAGTCATCCTTCTGTATTTTCAGATTCTGCCTCTGTACTGAACATATACAGATATTCTTTTTCAGGTTATTGTTCCCTAAACAATGGACTGTAACATGTTTACATAACATTTATATTTCAGTCAGTATTGCAAGCAATCTGGAGATAATTTAAAGTGTATGGGATTATTGCATAGGTGATAGACAAATAATGCACCACTTCATGTAAGGAAGTTTAGCATCCACAAACTCAGCTATGCACAGGGGTCCTGGAACCAGGCCCCTGAAGATACTAGGAGATGATTTAGCATTTTGTGAAGTCTTATTTTTGTCTACTATTACTATATTTCTTTTGGCCTATGTATCTACCCTTACTTTATATTATTGTGTGTATATGTATATGTGCATACGTATTTGAATCAAATATATTCATTTTGTATAAGAAATATGCACATACAAATACACAGATATGTACATAAATATTTATACTAGCTCTTATATTGGGAAGAAGGGGGAGTTAGTGTTCCAGACATTCCTATGGTGCAGACTTACAGCCAAATATTTTTGCTATCATGTTTATATATACATACATGTATATATAGATTAAGTTTAATATATACTTATTATATCCACATGTACACATATGTAAAATACGTCTTTTCCTGTTTCAGTGAGTGTTTACTAGAGAAACAAATATAAGACAAAATGTACAAGTATATAAGAATCGACAAGACTGGCGTGCAGTGGCCTCCCACAGAATCGGATGAGGCAGAGTGCAGAGGGTCTGTCTGCACACTGGAGACCGAAGGATCCGGCTGAAGGTCCGGAGCTCACTGCAGTGTCCCGTGCGAATCTGTGTTAGGAGGCTGATGGGTCTGAGATGCCGGAAGGCTGAAGGATCAGTGTGAGAGGCTGAGGAGTCTGCACTGGAAGCCAAGAGATGATGTCCAAGGTGAAGGCAAAGACTGGAGCTCTTCCAAAGAAGCAGAAGCAGACCCATCCTTCTTCATCTCCCCTTTCTACCATCCAGGGACAAGCTGCCCTAGGGTGGATCTTCCACACCCTAGGGTATGGATTTGCTGAGCCAATTAAGTTGAGCTTCTCTTACTCAAGTTGACACAATCAAACAACCATCACATTTCCTACTTGGGAGAAACTATAAATATGCATTCTTTTTTTATCTTGTTTTCTTTTTGTATCTTGTCTTTTTGGCACCCAACTCTCTCCATATTACTGAGAAGATAATTTGGGTCCTTGTGTGGTGCTTCTTCTGATGGAGATAATACAAGCCCAAAACCGGTAACAGTGTGTTTACTTTGAACATGGCAATAACCTTAGTTTTGCCTTTATTGTCTTTCCCCTTTGCTCTCACAAAGTTATTCGCTTTATTCTCAGTCTTGAGTCCTTGCTATGTCTGAGGTGTCAGCTCCACTGTCAAGTACCATCCCTGTGACTGTGCTTAGTGTAAATGTCCCTCTTACACTTTTGTCCTTGTTTACACACTTTTATTCCAAAATGCAGCCACTGCTCCTAGGGCCACATAGCACTGTCCTCCCCTGCTGTAGATAATGGGTGGGCATCCTGCTTTCATTAGGCCCTGCCACCTGTGCTCACCCCATGCTTCTGTGAGCATAGAGCAGATCTTGCAGATGAGAGAGGGTGAGATGGGGAACATGTGTGGCTGTGTCACGGGGTTTACTGCCATGGCAAAGAAGCACAAAAGGGAAGAAAAAACAATGGAGATGAGAATGAAGAGAAACAGAGCGAGATGCCATTCACTTCGGCAGAAACATCCTTCTATTTTCTTTATTAAACAAGTATTCCTGCCTTAATGGCTCTCTCAAGAGGGAAATACTGAAGATGTTCAAGGCATAAAAGCAAGACATTACACAACAAAAAAATGTAAAAACCATAGAGTTAGGACAGTTCAATTCTGAGTTTTTAGAGACAATCAACTCCAGAAATATTATGGTGTATAAGATCATTTTCCTAAGTCTCAATGGTGGCCAAAGAGGGCCAGTAACTCCGTATCATTCAGGCTAAATTACTGAGCACCTTCTTTAGACTGCCCACATTCTTGATCTCCTTACTGCGCATAAATTAATGGTAGGATGCTTTTGTCCATGTGGGTTATACAAAGATAATTATAATTATAACATGGCCCATGCCATAAAAGAATTTGGAACATTTAGGTGGAAATTGTAAAATAATATTCTAAATCAAACTCTGAGAAGTCCAAAGAGGGGTAAAAATCATAAAGCCACAGAAATTCAGAGGAAAGTATGGTTGATGCGGGCCACAGTGACAAGGATGGGCTCTATTAAAAGAGTGATCCTTGAGCTGGGTGGAAAGTGGGTGGGTGTAGGAATTGCGTTTCCATGAGGACAATAGCTACTCTTCACTACCATGGTTCCACCCTCTGCCTCCTTTACCCCGACAGGTAAAAGCAGCGTTTTGGAAAAGGAAGGCCCAGAAGGCTGAGCGTGAATCCTTGAGACATCAACTTAGGTATGTGTGGGGGCTGTGGGAAGTATTATTACCTGGAACAGTCTTCAATCTGTAGACCCAAACCTGTCTCTAGCAGGGCGTTTCTCTTAGGAACTTACCAGATCACGCGTAGATTGTTTTCAGGCAGAAGCTGTTTTGTATTTCTAGTTCCAGCTGGAAACGCGAGTGATGTAGTTGGCAGAAGCAATAGCACCATCTGGTGGAGACAGATGCTTCCGTGCACAAGCTTTACCGTTCTGAAAATATCAGCAATCCCAAAGAATAACTAGTTTTAAAACACATTCTTAACTCTAAAGCACTCCTGGGATGCATAATATATCAGTAACAAAAAATTTCTCATATATTCTAATTCTTTATTGACTGAGCTAGCACTCTTGACCAGTGACAGACTGTTTATTTTCACAATACTTAATTAGGATTTAATATTCTCCCTGTGTCAGACTCATTTATTTAGGATGTGGATCCTTACGTTTGAGATTTAACCATGTTCCAAGGGATCCAGGCTTCTTTACATTTAGCAGAGTAACTGAATCCTCAGTAAGAATGAAGGAATAAACAGTAGATTTCATTGTTCTTTTCTGTCTCCTACCATGTATCAGAAACACACCTCCATCTTTGAATGACAGAGTTCCTTAGCACTGGGCTGGGGGAAGGGAGGTCTTTTTTATCATTGAGAAACTAGAACAACTGTATCCGGAGCTTAGCCAAGAATTCATATCTGTGATAACTAAACAGTCATCTAGAAATTTTATCTGGTCCACTAAAAAAAAAATCTCTAGCAGAATGTTTCATTTGCAATCATAAACTCATTGAACAATTAAAGAATGAATGAGACTTTTAAATGTGAGTGGTTCACCTTCCAAATGCCCAGTCTTCTCAAGTTTATTATCCCTGTTTTATCTGCATCAAGTATGGAGTTCATCTTCCTGGGAAAGTTTGAACTTCTGAACAATCTCACATTTCTTCAGAGTTTACAGTCGGTGTGAATTATGCAGAAATTTACAAAATCTTTTTTTTTTACGCTTCAAAACTTAAAAGTACAAAGTAAGTCTCCCTTCCTCCCCCAAAAATATTCCCCAGGTATCAGTTCACTTCTCTGGGATAGTAATATTGCAAGTTGTCTGTGAAATGTTACCAAAAATATTCTGTGCTTATAGGAAATTTATTGCATCAAGGATACGCCACAGAATATTTTGAATTTGCATTTATCACTTGAAAGTATAGATTTTTTTATTTTTTATTTTTGGTACCGGGGATCGAACTCAGGGTCCTTGCGCTTTCACGGCAGGTGGCGGAACCACTGAGCTAAATCCCCGACCCGATCACTTGAAAATATAGATTGGAGATTGTTCTGTATCATTACATTAGTGCTACCTTGCTTATTTTTCAGCTGTGCAATATTCTATTGAGTGAATATTGCATGGTTTACATAGCCAGTCTCCTCTTGAATTTGTTTCCAGTAGTTTGATGTACAAACAGTGCCTCACTGGATAACATTTACATCCGCTGCTTTGCATGCATTGCAGTCTACCTGCTGGATGTATTTGGAGAAGTGGAATTGCTAGGTCAAATGGTTTTCACATTTGTAATTGTGAGAAATGCTCTCCTCCTTGGAAGTCATTTGTACTGACTTACAAGAACGTAGGATGCCCCATGCCCTCATTAACTGTTTTTAAAAAACAACTTTTGGGGCCAGGGATTTAGCTCAGTGGTTCCACTGCCTGCCTCGCAAGTGCAAGGACCCGAGTTCGATCCCTACTACCAAAAAACCCACAACTTTTGGACTTTGACGATCTTATAGGTATTATATTTGAATTTAATGAGTAGCAGGTTTCACAGTTTTCTTATTATGAATTTGGTTTAACGAGCATGAAGTTTTTCATGAGACCTGATCACCGAGTCAATTCTTTCTCCAAAGTTACTTTAGCAAATATACTGATTGTTTAAAATTTTAGTTTTTAGAATAGGTAAAAAGTGGCTTCAATTTTAAACACCTTCCAAAATTACTCATTTATGTTCTCCTCCTTCTTTTCATTTCCAGTAGTGGATTTACCATAAAGCTAGAGAAACTTAAGCTTTAGACCCCTTTCTAAATCCCCAAACTAGTTTTGTACTCATAATTTGACATTCCTTTTCTTAAAAATGTTGTCCAAAGTTATAGAAGCTTCAGGCTGGATACGCCCCTGTCTTCCCAGTTTCCAACCTCTCAATTTCTTATGTGTCCCTCTGGATTACTTTATGCACATAGAAATATATCCAGAAACGGATTATTCATACTTTTGCTTTGTACGCTTGCTTTCCTCAATGTGTCTTGGATATATTCTGTGTAAATTATAGAGAAGGTTCATGCCCTTTCTTTGTTTTTCATTTTTTTTTGACAGTTGCATGGTCTTCCATTGTATGAAGTTAAGCTCTTTATTTCATCAGCTCTTCACTGGTACGCCTTAGTGTATATTTGTTTTGTTTCATTTCTGCCATTTTCTTAAGTGTCCGGGCAGGTTTTGGAGCCCTGAATGACAGTCAAGAATCTGGTAGAGCCACAGGCTTCAGAAGAGGTGGGAATTAAATGGATGAAATTGGCAGGAGGAATCCCAGCCTTGCTTACCCTCCACCCTCTTCAGGTATCTACAACTCTAACTCTTTTCAAAACAGGTCCCTGGAAGCCTGCTATTCATAGCCTAGTGTGAATCTGTGCATCTGCATGCTAAGTTTATCTATGATTATGAAACACAAGATTGTCTTGCTAAAGCATTTCTAACAATCTGAAGACAGGAGGGAAACACAATTATCAGTCTTCAGATGGTATAAAATCATACTGGGCAGGTAACAGGTGGGATAGATAGCCCATGAGGACACATTAGTCTACCAGAGGCCTTGCTACAACCCACTAAATAACTGCCACTACTCACACAGTAATGTTTTAGTGTCCTGTGTCTGATGGGAAGGGTTGAACAGCTGATATCTTCTATGCCAGGAGATTCAATCGTTTTGAGACTAGACTCTTTATACCCTCTTCAGTCATTACTTCCCTTCTCATTCAAGACAGTACACACCATGAAAATTACATTTCGAATAGCTGGAGATGCAGCCTTTCCATTCTCCTTATCCTCTTAAAGTGTCAGCTGCCCCTTCTTCCATCAGAACCTGTTTTCTGGAAAGGATCATGCACCTGTCTAATTTGGTTACTGCAAATCTAACCGAATCCTCAGTGTCACTTTTAGTTCATATATCAGTGTTATATAAAACTTCTTTATGTGAATAGTTGCATAGTATTCCATAGTATAGATATAGAATATTTTATTTAACAACCCCATTTTTCACTAATGTTAGGTTATTTGTGACATTTTGCTCAAATATGACTCAAATTTAAAATTTAATATTTTAATATGGATATGTATATATTTGGAGACATGTATGTGAAACTATTTCTGTAGGATATGTTCCTAGAATTAGAGTTCCTCAAGAGGTGTAAACATTTTAATTCTTGAAGAGATATTTCTAAATTTCCCCCAAATCAATTTAGATTCCTGTCAAGATTATGAATTGGGATCCACATGCCCACATGCTCAGCAACAGTATAAAGTATCAGTCTTTCTAGTTTTGTTTATCTGATGGGAAAAATGTTCTTTCATGTTTTAAAAGCCATTTCTCTAATTTCCAGAGGGCCGGTGCATCTTTCATCATGTTCTGAGAATAGTAAATGTTTCTATTTGAGTTTGTATATTTAATTTCCCAATTGGAAAAATGGCTTGAATATTACTATTATGTTCATGGTATATATAAAGACTATGTTAGCTATATTCTTACTTTCTCTTAAAGTGGTTTTTCAAGACATTAAAGCTGTTTGTGTATGTGTGTATATGTGTGTGTGTATGTGTGTGTGAAGGTGTATCTTTTTAAAAATGTTTTTTAATTGGTGAAATTGTATATATTTATTGTGAAAAACATGATGTTTTGAAATATATGTTCATTATGGAATGACTTAAATTAGCATATGAATTGCCTAAGGTAGTTATCATTTTTGTGGTGAGAACATTTTAAACTTATATCCTAGCATTTTTCAAAAATACAATATATAGTTCTTAACTGTAGTTGTCATGTTATACAGTAGATCATAAGTCTGATTTTCTTAACCCTTACATTAACCTCGCCAGAGAAAGGTTCCATAAGGCTGTGTCACAGGGAGGCCAGGCCCTATGCTCAGTGGTTATGGGTGTGGTCTTCGGAATCAGGCTGACCTGGTTTAGACTCCGGGTTGAGTCATATTTCTTACATTTTCTGTGCCTCTGTCACCTCTTTTGTAAAGTGAGTGCCATAAAAGTTGTAAACTCACAGAATTTTCCTGAGGCTTATTTGTATTTTTTATGTTTTGGAAGTGCTGGAGATGAGACCGGGAGCCTCGCACATGTGGGACAAGCGCTCTGCCACTGAGCTGTCCCCCAGCACTGTCGTAAACTCCAGACAGGATAATAACACGATGCATGTAATTCAGCACAGTTCCAGACACTTCCAAGTGCTCAGTATTTGCTATCCATTAAAATTATTATTTATAATGTGGACAACACATGCAGAGAATTAGATATTTCAGTTTTATTCTAGGTCCTAGAAACTTTCCCAGTAAAACTTATTCTTAGTAATATCCTAAAAGACTAATACAGTCCTCTTTTATTAGAGTGGGGATTTCTCATTATGTTTTAGCCAGTCATATGAATTTTCTGTTTCTTAGAGCATGAAAATAATTAACTCACCCATTAATTCAGTGTTTACTCTTAAGTTCTTACTGTGTTTAAAGCCTGAGAGATTCAGTTCTCTTCAAAAGTCTATTTCACTTTCTCTGTATGAAACTTATTCCACATTCCTTTAAACTGTGAAAATCCTAATTTATACAAAATGCAAGGAAACAGGAAAGAAGCTTAAAGGCAGTTTAGTTCAACTTTTTATTTTATAGATGTAAAAACTGAAGCCCAGAGGCAGGAAGCAACTTTTCTAAGGTCACACCGTGCGTAAGTATGGGAACTGGGATGAGAAGCCAGACATCCCAGCTCTACAGCAGCACTCTGTGAAACCATACCATGTTCAAGGATCCACTTCTGTTAACCCAACATGACTTCAAAAATCCTGACCTTGGTATAATTCCAAAGGAAATGAAATCACCAACTTGTTAAAATGTTATCATTCCCATGCTCTTCTCAGCACTATTCAAAATAGGAAAGATACGGAAACTACCTAGGTGTCTATTGACAAATAAATGGATAAAAAATTTTGGCATATATTTATAATGAAACATTATTCAGCCTTTAAAAATTAGGAGATCTTACCACTTGCTACAGTTTGGATGAACCTAGAGGATATTATACTTGGTGCAATAAACCAGACACAAAAATACTGCATGAAATCTAAAGAAAATGTAATATATAGAAAGATGGAGAATAAAAACAGTGATTATGAGGGTCATAGTGTGGAAGGAGGACTAGGAATGCATTGTTTCAAAGGATACATGTAGCAAATATAGAGGATGAACAATCAAAAGATCTAATGTACAGCACAAAGATTACAGCTAATAAAATTGTATTCAGAATAAAGATTTGAGGGAATGTGAAGATTACAGCATCTTTTGTTTCTATGTGTGGTGAAGGATATCTTGATTTGTTCCACTATCGTAACTATTTTCTTATATATTTATATGTATCTTTAAAGATCATGCAGTATAACTTAAGTATACACAATAAAATTCATTTAAAAACATTAAAAACAAATATACAAAAACACAGGTTTTAAAATGATAAAAATGAAACACGGCTGTCTGAAGTTTGTCAAGAAAGATAGAACCTAACACACTTCCCTACCTATTTGAAGACAATAGTACTGTGAAGTCCAGTAGCATAGCTTTCTAGGTCTTTTTCATTTTTGTCTACTCTCAACTACCCACATATAACAAGAATGCACTGCACTCAAGGTAGACAGTACCAGTGATCCTACAGATCAGCTTCTGGCAGCCCCTGGCCCACATGCCAGAGATGGTACAGGTGCCAATTTCTGGTGGGAAGTGAGCCAACTGCCACACACAATTCCCACCCTCATCGTTTTCAGCAGATATCATGTCCACCCTCTTGCCCATGTCATCCGAGGCAACACCCTGACAAGGCTTTCCATATGGCCCCATCTTGGCCTTCCAAAACCACAGGCTCAGTAATTCAACACACACATTAGAGAAACCAATGACCGCTGATTCCTATAATAAAAATGAAACATTCTCAGCATGTTTAAACAGAATGTTCATTTATTTTCTTCTTTATGATTATAGAGTAATAGAATGTTCTTGATTATTAATATATATCATAGAATATGCCAAAGCAAGAATTAGGCAAATCTAATGAACTTGCCTAACCTTAAAAGAATAAAAGGCAACACATCCCCAGCCCCCAGCCTATATATTATGGGTAGAAATCTGGACCCACTGACCATTTAGTTGTTCATTTAAACTTTAGTTCCGGTTTATTGAGCATCTACTAGGAATGGTCCTGTTGCTGGCTGTTCAGAGCACGAATATCCATAAGTCCTCTACAAAAGGCTGCCTCAGAGTTCATGTACACCTGGCTGCTTAGTCTTGAGTTACTTTCTACCACTGAATAATTCTGTGATGTTAAGCAAATAAATTTGCTTCTTTAAACTTTATTTTCCCAATCCTTATGTAAGGGTAGTATTAGTCCCTACTTTGCATATTTGATTATAAGGATAATATTAAGGCATTTTAGATGGTGCCTAAAACAGTCAATTCTCAAAAATTATCAGCTACAATTAAGTTTCTCCTGTACTATAACCCGAAATTAGAAAGCCTGTAAGAGGGTTAGAAATCAGAAGGTCAATTGACACTGAAAATTTGGAAATTAGGGCAACCAACAGTTAAAAGGTCCTTAATATGACAAGATTTTGGTGATTACTTGCTGTGTGACAGGGACATGTATGTGTTGGGGATGAAGAAATGAACCAATTCTTGAACTTCTACTTGTGGAGAGATGGCATAAAATTGAGAACTGTAAATCCCGGGTTAAGGATTATTAAAAAGCTGGAATTCTGAAATCACTTGTCTTGGGCGAAGTCCCCTGTTTTCTTGGTGGATGGGCTGGGACTAGGATTAAAGGTAGGGGGGTTTCCCTGGGACCTTTGCCCATGACCCACAGAGAGCACTGAGCTTGGAGTCAGCTTGGGCTCCTGGTCAGGATGGTCCCTGCAAGGCTTCCATGCCTCTAGAGGGACAGAAAAGCCATGTGTGCAACAGTTTGGGGACCTGTCAGCACCAATACTTCTGTCTAAAAGAGCTGCAGTCCCAACTCAGAAAGTCTACACACCCTGCCAGGGTTAAAATGATTTCTGACATAATGACAATACTAACAATATATCTTATGTTTGTGTGACCCTTCATGTCTTCAAATGATGTCCACCTGCATCTCTGTCACTAGCAGTGTTCAGTAGCCCCCTGAAACAGCCCAAAGAACTCTCTTTATGCATAACACAGGTTGTAATGGAGCACACAACATTGCCGTGGAGCTAAGTCACCATTTAAAGCCTTTCTTAGGAGCTACTGGGATTATAAATTGTATATCTTGTTTGGATAAACTATAAGAAGACTTTTTAATGCCCTTCAATTGGTGAACCATGAATTTAAAACTGTGATGTCAACATCTGTGTTATCCTACCAGTTCAAAGAATGTGGCCTTGTAAAGACAGTCTTTCCTTGCTACGTCATCCTTATGTTTGCACACTAGTGGAAAGTCAATCTGGATTTTTCAGCAAATGTTAGTACTTTTTTGTGTGGGAGCCAGTGCTTGTCTTTGGCTGGAGGTAAAAAATGTTCTTTCTATTCTCTTCCTACTTCTTCTGAAACTTCATAATCTTTCTTTTTAATATCAACTATGGTTATTGGTTTGGGAATAAAATTGCCTAAATTTGATCTTAGGCCAGATATTTATTGGCTGGGTTCATTTATTATATTGTTTAGTCTCTCCGTATCTCTGTTTTCCCACATAAAAGTTCTTAATGATAGCTCCTACTTCATAAGGTTGTTATGATGATTAAAGAGCTAATACTTATACAGGTGCCCTCAGTAGGGGTGTGTGTGTGTGTGTGTGTGTGTGTGTGTGCATATGCACAGATATGTAAGTGGCGTATGTGAAACTAGAGATGTCTTCGTTCTGAGTCTTATCACCATTTTCAATTCTAAACTGAACCTGTAATATGAGTGAGAACAGTCTCCAATGCTACACTCTGTGTTCTTCTAAGACCCTGGATCTGCTTTGCAAATATGCCCATAGGACTCATAGACCAGGACAGGAAGATTTCCACACACAATCTCAGACTCGCCTGGCCTCATCATGCCATGTATTCATGGAGAAAAAAACCCCTGCATTCACCAGACATAGCCTACATTGGGATAAAATGATTGAACTCTTAATGTAGATAAAAATGTACTACATTACCCTGGTTAATTTTGGTTTGAGAGTCAGATTGGGTATGAGTCTAACATTTACTATTTGCTTAATGCTTGCATTCATAAACTGAGATGATAACAAGACATGGATTTGCTAAAATGATAAATGAGGTTCTTTGTATAAAGTACCTGTAAACATGCAGTGGATGCCAGAGAATAAGCGCTAAGTGGTTATATTATTATTGAAACACCCTTTTCCATTCAGGTGCCTCTGCTTGTGTCTTTCCATGTACACTTAATGTATCATGTTTCTGGAAAAATGAAACCAATAAAATACATATAATTATAGGAAAGGATTTCTTCAATGGGCTCACAAAATCAGAGGCTGGATAGGCCACCTGCAAGCTGGAGGGGCAGAGGAACTGGTAGCTACACTGAGCATAATGCTGAAAGGCTCAGAACAAGAGAGGATGAAGATGCATCCTTAGTCTGAAGCCAGAGGCTGAAAACTCCCATGGAGAGCCACTGGTGCAAGGGCTACTTTCAAAGGCTGAAGAACTTGGAGCTGATTCTACAGATGAAAGAGCAGAACAATGCATTTTCCCAAGAGGAGTAAAGTGTGGGCAAGAGCAAACACTTTCAGCTTTTGTTGTTCTTGCATCTGGGCCCTCAGCCTATGGGATAGGCAGGTTGCCCTTATTCACTTCACTGACCTACACACCAGACTTCTCTGGAAACGCCCTCAAAGACAGACCTTGAAGCGTGCTTTACCAATTTTCTAGGCATCCTTCAATGCAGTCAAGTTGTCAGCCATGGTTAAGCATCACACATGGCCCTTAGAAGGTGAGTTTTGGTGCTAACTGCTCCCATGGAGGGGAGCATGTGTTTAGTCAGACAATCATGGAGAAGGTAAGAAGAGTTTAGAAAGAAGTGGCCATTTACACTCTAGAGGAGAGAAAACTGTGGGTGTTTGGTTGAGGAATTCCCCACAACTGACTGCTGAATGTGGGTTCACTCTGACCACAGATATTGTCCATAGATGACAGGGTTTAATCAATAAAAGTCCATTTCCCATAAGCCTGAGCAGGCATTGAGTTGCATTGATTCTGTGTAAGAGGAAGAACAGTTGAGAGGAAACAAGCAAAATTGGGGTGAAAATGGACAGAGGTGTCGGTGGTCTCTGGAGGTCTCTGCCTGTGGCTGCAGTGTTTTTAAACTTAGCATTGCTGGGACTACATGTGGTCATGCCTGTGATTCTGCTATCAGTGAGTGCACCTGTTTAAGTCAGAGGTAGCATGTCTATTTTAAGTTATTGGAAATCATAGTAATGTGTGAAATGAATTTCTTCCCTCAGAAATTGTCAACTTAATATGCAGTTAAATGGAAAATAAACATCAAACCTATGTTTGATAAATTTAAAAATAATGATTCCAGCAATGTTTTGTAGGGAGGAAAATGGAATGCTTTGCAGAATTTCTTGGCTCAGTCAGTCTCAGATAAAGAGAAAGTGAACTTAGGCTGTATTCATTACTCAACATTACAGAACACTGAGGCTGATGTCTAAAGTGTCACACCAAATGGGCATAACTTTTTGCACAGCATCTTGTTTAAGACACTTTTGATGTCTGTGTCCCTCAGGCAGGGCGTTCCACATGGGATCAAAAAGACTAAAACAGGGATAGTAGGACTAGGGGGCCATGTTCATGACATGATACTACCAAAGAAGAGACTGATCATGCCCAGGTGGGAGGAGCAGGTGGAAAAGGCCTTTCTGTGGCCCTCCTCTAACTATATCCTCAAGATGGCAATCAGAATGCATGAGTAGGAAACCAGCCAGAAGCATAGGGGCCTCATGAAAACAAGCACATGGGCTGCAAAGAGAATGACTTAGTTGAGCCTGGCATCACCACAAGCCAGCTTGAAGGCAGACAGGATTTCACAGAAGTGGTTGATTTCATGAGGCCCATAGAAGGCTGAGAACCACATAGACAAGGGGCAGGAAGTGATACCAGGATGATCCAGACTATCCAGTTTAGGGTGTTAGAACACTGGAGTGGGTGCCAAGTGGCCGCATAGAGATCTTATGACTTCCCCACCAGGAGGAGGCATTCTGGGTGTACAAATATCAATAAAAGAAAGGTCTGGGCTGGGGATTTAGCTCAGTGGTGCCCACAGCTGCCTCATAAGTGCAAGGTCCTGAGTTCTATCCCTAGTTTAAGAAAAAAAATGAAAGGTCCTAGTCACACAGTCAGCAAAGGAGATGGGCTTTGGTGGGCTCAGCAGGTTCACCAGTATCTAAGCACAGTGTTGCAGTCATAGATGATATCCATGATGGTCTGGAGTGAGAAGAGGAAGTACGTGGGGGTATGCAGTCTGCTGTCTAGAATGATCCTGTTTTCCAGCAGGGTGAAGGTGTAGAACAAGAAGGGGCCAAAGAGGAGTATCTGCATTCTTGAGTCAAGGGGGAATCCCAGGAGGATGAACTCTATGACAGAACTCTGATTTCCCTCATTTCACTGTGAAAAAGATGAAATGAATAGTTTAGAATAGGACTTTTCAAAAGCATCTAATATTATTTCATATTATTTTATGAATTTAGTCATTTCTAAAAGATAAATTTGAAAATGAGTCATTGTCTTAGTTACTTTTCTTTGCTGAGACAAAATACCCAAGTTGGTAGAGGTTTCAGTCCATAATAGGCTGGCTACAAGGCAGGGTGGCATAGCAGACAGGCATTGCTGAGGAGAAATGGTTCATGGTGGGAAGAGGTAGCAAAGCAAAATACAAGGGAGAAGACAAACCTCTTTCTGTCCCTTATACTTTATCCAGGCTACCAGGATTAAGGTGGTGCCAAACCAATCAGTGAACTGATTTGGTAATCGCCCACCCTTCATCCTAGCATCCTTACTTCTAATATTGCACCATGAATCCATCACAGACTCTAGATTCAGCCACCTCTGAAAAAGCCCCACCTGTGACTGAATGAGGCTTTCAGGGGACATCTAGACATAAGCCATAATTTTCCACTCCTGGCCCTCCAAAGACTCACATCATTTTATGCAAATAGCATTTAGTCCTCCAAGAGTTGCTGAAGTCCTAACGGTTTCAGCATTGCTGAAAAGTCCAATTCCCAAGTCTCCTCTGAGATTCAAGGGAAAGTCTTAGCTGTGTGCCTCTGTACAAATGAAAAGAAAGTTAAATACTTCCAACATACAATGGCACAAGATAAACATTACCATTTTGAATTGTACAAATAGGGGGATATAAAAGAATGGGATCAAAGCAAATCCAAAATCCTGCAGGGCAAATATTAAGCCCTGCAGTAGTTCCCATGCAGTAGCCCAGGCAATCTGTGGTAAGATGTGAACTCCAAAGGGCTTGGGTGACTCTGCCCCTATGGCACTTCCAGTGGTGGTAGGGCCCATGGCTTCTCTCTTGGACCAGCTCTGCTCCATAGCAGTTTTCCTCAGATAATATTTGTTTTTGGCCTACCTAAACTTCTTGGGTCTCCACTGAACCTTTGGCTTTACACTCACAGCTTCACATGGGCACACTGCCTGGCCTCCCACGCCTTCCTCCGAAATCTGGGTGGAAGCCTCCCTGACCCTGAAGCTCTTGCACTCTTCATGTACCTGAAACCAGCACCACATGA